CACCGGTGACTCTGGTCTTCACACACACACACTCACACACTCTGACATGAATATATGAGTGTTTTTATGTGCTGACTGAAAAGGCGTCGCTGAGTTAAGTGGCCTTGTTGTTGTATTCTGCTGCGGCTCTAACGGCCTGCAGCGGGGGGCGTGGGTGCTGATGGAGGTGGTGCTGGGGGTGGATGAAGGAGAGGCCTGCGGCACCATGCCTAATCAGGCTTTCTCGCCAGGGTCAAGACTTTCTGTCTGGGTCCGCGGTGCTCCCTGCCACCGCGGACTCGTCCATTCAGCCTCACAATGTCCCTGTCAGTCCCGACAACACTTCCTGCCTCCGCTGGCTCCAGCCCTCGCAGGGATACACAATATTTCACAGCTCCCAACAATGGCCTGTCTGCCTGCACCCACCATATGGTAACTATGGGCCACAATATTGACACACATCACTAATTATTCAAAGAGCTGAGAGAGAGAGAGAGACGGAGGAAGGAAGGTGTCAGTCTGTCTGTTTTGACTCTATAATCTAGAGTCAGATTAAACTCGATACTAAACAATAGATAATTATGGTGGGGAGGGGAGGGGAGGGAGGGAGGGCCGGGGGGGTCGTCCTGCTCTTCATAATCTGCAGTAGATTATATCAACCAGACAGATTCAGGACGGCGGTATTACAGACGAAAAAATAATTTCAAAATCATGCAAAATAATCTGTGAAATTATCAACAAATCAGATGAATATTTTTTCATAAACAACATTTTTTCCTTCCTCTTTGTAATTTTTTTTAAACAATTTGAAATCAGATTTTACTCTTTAGAAAAACAACTGACTCAGAAGAAAAAGACGGCGTCTGTTTTGTTTAATACTATGAAAAAAACATGTTTATGATAAATATAAAATTTAAAAAATATTGCAGTGGTTACTTAAAATTTTACTTAATATGTTAGCATAATAATATAGTAATACAATAACAATCTAGTAATTATTCAAGAAAATAACCAACAAAAAAATAAAATCTAATATTAATTTTGACTAAACTGGCAAAAATAGAAGAGTTCTGTGACGACGAAGGACAAACAGATGAAATTCTAACATTTTTTCGTCAGTAAAACTAAAATCAATCCTCAGTTTCTGCTGAGCTCCAAATCCACTCTGTGAACATGTGACCCACATTGACACCATTCTGTAGGAAGCTGGAGACATCTGGGCTGCAGTCTATGGACATCCAGCTCATCTCTGTCCAACATATGTCTTCTACGTCCCCCCCAGGACCTGCTCTCGTGGGACCTGATAATTTACCACCACTTTAAAGAACGTGAGCTTTGACTGGAGGGGAAATAAAGTCCGGTTTCTGCTGAAGAGAAAAACAAACGACTTGATTGTTGATTTAAAATATTCACAAAAATGTGCAGAAATCCAGAAGGTTGGACTGAGTGAAAAAAAAACCCAAACTTCTTTCTTAATTCTTTTTTAATTACCTGCTGTCTGCTCTGGTGTGAAATTGTTTTTCTGATAGTTTAATTGAGCTTCAGTTGTTGTTCTCTTGTCTTATTATGGTTTTTACCTTAATGTTAAATCATTTTCCTGCGTCTTTTTTTTTTTTTTTTTTTTTTTACTCATCTAAGCCTTGGCAGGAGGGAAACTGATTTTCACAGAAATGTTTTCTTTGATTCAATGTTTTACACGCGTCTCAGATCAGCAGTCGTCCGGAATAATAATAATAATAATAATAATAAAAAAACAACTAATTACTGATGTAAAATATGCTAAAGGTGAGCCTCACACGTGGCAAAATCCCCAAATCAACTTTAATCTTGGAAACTTTGACGTTAAAAAGATATCGTCCGATATATAAATATTCAATCTTTTTCAGCGAACTAATATTTAAGACGAGGCAGCTTTATTTGTATAAATAAATATAAATACAACAACAAGGCAATTCAATCTATGAAATAACAATAAAATATAAGATTACAATTTTACAGTAATATGTAAAATGACATAAAAATATTAAAACTTTTCAAAAATTGAAAATAAATTAGAGATTAATTTTGTGACCAACTGAACATTTTTCTGCAGTTTTTCTAGAAGGTTGTTCCATCTTTAACTTTGACTCCAGGCTCATGTCTGACCTTTGTAGATGTTTGTAATAAGGACAGAATGTCATTGGTTACTGTGCACCAATCAGAGGACGTGAGGAGGCTCAGATATGATGATGTCATTGGTCCACACACCTCAGAGGTGACTGGTGTGGACATTTGGACCACGGTTGTTTTTGTCTCATCTCCACTGTGGTCAACACTCTCCCACATCAACTCCC